CTTCCCCGAGCCTCGATGTTCCCTGGGGGGGGGGCACCCTGGGCCCTCGACTTTCGCCCCTGGCCCGCGGCGGGCTCCCACCGTGACGTGATTGCGGCGCTGCTTTCGGACGCCGCGCGGATCGTTCCACCGCGGCGGCGGTCCAACAGCGCCGATCGTTCCCAGGCGTGATCACGTCGTAACCAAATCCAGGACGGCAAATGTGTGGCCCGTCTCGGCCTCGGGGGGGGGGGCCTCGCCGGGCCTCGGGAGCGTCATCACACGACTCAGGATGAAGAACAAACGGGTCCCGGGGAGGAAAGGGTCGGGACTTCCAGGGGCCCCGCATCGAAAAAAGTCAGGACGTCGCACGTCTGGGTCCTCATAGACCACAGTCGCATCAGGGCCTCCGGCGGCGCGAGATCGGTGTGGGATTTCCCTTCCTCCCCCTCCTCCCCCTCCTCAACCTCCTCCCCTCCCCCCCCCCCTCCCCCTCCTCCTCCTCCTCCTCCTCCTCCTCCTCCTCCTCCTCCTCCTCCTCCTCAAAGCCGGGAAACGCACGAACAAAGAAAACCCGAGTGATTTCATTCTGTGAGTTTTTTCCCCTGGAGCCTGGGGAGAGCGAGTGGGGGGAACTCCGTCGTTTTTTTGGGGGGGCGGGGTCCAGAACACACACGAGTAAGCCCCGCCCATGGGGGTTTTCCCCCCTGGGAGCCTGGACTGGGGAGCCGGAGAACCCCCCTGGGAAAACGATGGAAGCGCTGGACAAAAATGGGGCGAACGCCCCGAGACTCGCTCGCCTGGGGGTGTTCCTGGGTGCGGGGAGCTGCCACTCTGGCGGCGCTCCACCTCGGGCACGGCCGCTTCGCGAGGACCGCCGCCGTGCCAGCACGGCGCGGAGCTGCCGCGCCCCCGAAGGAGGCGCGGGGCCACCACTGCAGGAGGAGGAGTGCACGGCGACCGCGGCCACGACTTCGGGGAGCAGAGCCGAGAGCAAGGACACGCCGCCGCGGGACCCCGTCGGCGCGTTGCCGTCGAAGGAGGGCCAGGCCCTCGGACAACACGGAGGAGCAGCACGCCGACGGGCTACCGACGGCAGCGTGCCATTGATGCTCTCGCATCCTCCTGAAGGCTGCACGCGGCAGCGTCGGTGTCGATCTTGGCCATCGCCAGTCTTGGTCATCGTCACTTTGTGGATCGTCCTCACGAGTCGGCGACGACCGGCACGGACCATGACCAGAGTCGGCGTCGACGAAATCCCGCGACATGCTGGTCATGGTCAGCGTGCGTTCTCCCTCGAACCACTACCGATCTTGCTGCGCCACCGACATCTCCCGGAATGCGGCCTGACCGGAACGTCGAGGAGAATCCAGCCGCGGAGACGAGGGCCTCCCAGGCCAAAAAAAACGAGGGGGAGGGTAATTAGCGGCAGCTAGAAAAGAAACAATGGCGTAATAGCATAAACTGTCGGAGGTCCGCGCGGATTTCTTGGATCGGCGCCAGACGCGGCGGCAACGCCGATCCAAGAAACCCGCGCTGAGCTCCGAGAGTTCATGTTCATGCGGTATTGTTCCCTTTCGGGGGCGGCCAAGATGGGGGCGGCATGTGCGCGGCCCAGTGGGGGGGCCAGGAACGTAATGATGTAAGAGAAGGCGCCATGGAATCTCGGGAAATATCATGGCCCGCGCCATGATATCCCCCCCGAGTCATCACCCCCTTCTTTGCCGCCCCCGACCCTTTCGAGTGTCGGAATCTCTTCTGATCGGGGGCGTTCAAAGAGGGGGGCGTCCAGGAGGGAGGGGCGCAAAACATGGCCGGCGGCATGTGCGCGGCCCAGGGGGGGGGAGAGCGGGGGACGCACTGAAGTATGTGAGCGTTTCTGCATTCGGCGTTTCGACATTGGGCGGAAAGCTCCGGACCTGTGCTTAGTGCCACCGCTTGCACCAGTGCATCCATTATGGGGGAGGCTTCACCTGCTCGAGCGAGGCGCCGAAAACAGCTGAGATCTACTCCAACGGGGGGGTGGGGCCGAGGGCCGACGCCGATCGGTCAAAAAATACATGAAACAACGATCATTACAAGAAGAGGAGCCATGAAACTTGGAGAGATATCATGGCCTCCGCCATGGTATCCACCCCCACCTTGGGGAAACCAGGAGGTACACGTGCCGCTACGCCCCGGACCTCGCCCGGGGTGCGTTCTGACCAGAATTTCGAAGCGAATCCAGCGGTGGCGACGAGGGCCTCCCAAGGGGCCCCAAAAGTGGGAAAACGGGCGAAGGGTAGAGATCTTGTACCTTTCCCTCCTCCGATATCCCCCCCCGCCTACTCATCCCCCCCCTCTTGGCCGCCCCCGATCTGAAGCGCACCCAGCGGTGGCGACGAGAGGAAGAGGGAGGAGGAGGAGGAGGAGGAGGAGGAGGAGGAGGAGGAGGAGGAGGAGGAGGAGGAGGAGGAGGAGGAGGGAGGGAGGCTCCCCGGGAGGCCCCGGGGGAAGACCCCACAGCCCCAGGGCGGGGCGGCCCGCCGCTGTCTCGCCTCCGGCCCTCGCCTCCGCCTGCGGGTGCTGCGGGGCCGCCGCGGGTGGGCAGCGTCGGGGCTTCAGCCCGGGAGCTCCTCCAGAGGCCTCCCATATGGGGTCGGAAGTAGACCCAGACACGATCGCGTCGTGAGAAATCCAGGACGGCAAGTGTTTGGCCATTCTCGGCCTCGGGGGTCCTCGCCGGGCCTTGGGTCCGTCAACAAAAAGCCGCTCAGGACGAAAAACCGGCCCCGGGGGAAAGGGTTGGACTTTCCGGGGACTCCGTATTGAAAAAATAAGGTCGTCGCATGTCTGGGATGGGGTCGGAGGATCGCGCCGCATCGGCGAAGCCAGCGTGGAGAACATCGGGCTCCACTTCGAGCCGCATCGCCGATGCATCAACGAGGCGGCGCGATCCGCCGACCCCATCTACTCGGACCCCACCTAGGAGGCCTAGATCCTTCGCCTGGTGATAGGGGGTCAAACCAGTCAGACTTCTGGGGGTCAGGCTCGGACAAGAAGGCGGAATCTGAGGAAAGCACGCATGCTCTGGGACAACTCGTCACTGGCCCGGGCAAAGGATGCCCAAAGGAAGTGCCAAGGGAAAACAGCGCAGCGAGCCAGAACATGAGGTGCGCGGGCAGAAACCTCTCTCGATGCCAGCGCCGCTCGGAGGGGCGAGGGCGAGGGACGCGAGGGGCTGGAGCCCCGCGGGGGCCCACGGCCTGGTCGAGGTCGGCGTTGTTTTTTGTTTTTCCACGCCGACACGCCGACCACGACACCTCCCCTTTCTTAGTCCACTCGATCGAAACTTCTGGCCCGCGCTCTACGACCCTGTTGTAAGCGATTGCGGACCCGAGCCAGGGAAATCCAAGGAATCCGACCAGCCCTTTGGGCGTAGGTGGTCGAACGAGCTTGGTCTTCTCTCTGCCTCCCTCCTTCCCCTGTGCGGGGGAGGGGTGTATCACTGTTCCCGGTCCATGTACACCCCCTCCCCCAGGCGACCAGCAGCCAACCAGGAACAATGCCGACCCTATGATCCCCACCCCCCCACCAACCCTGTCACAAAACAATGCAAAACACGCTCCGCCTCCAAATTCGGAGCCTGCGCAACCAGTCCGATGCGGGTCCGACCCACCATCCCTGTCAACAAACAACACAAATATACAATTTGGGGCAAAGTCTTGAAACATGTTCTTGAGGCCGCGGGCACTTTGCATTCTGTTTTGCCACGGACGGCGGGGGTGTCAGCATATTGCCTGCTGCGCGCAGGGCCACCACCCCTGTCAAAAGACAAGACAAAATGCACCTCGCGGCTAACTCTGGATCATGCGCGGCCACCCCGCGATCACTGTCAAGTGGTTTTTGGCAGGGACGGCGGGGGTGGTGGCGCATGGCCTGCTGTGAGTAGGCCCACCAGACACCATGATGGGCATTGGTTTTCGACAAAGATGGTGGGGGCCGACGTGTTTCCCGCGATGTGTGCTGCCACGTGCGCAGGCGCACCTGACACACTTTGCACGTGCCCCGAACGTGGTGCACCTGGCGCGGCTGGAGTATGCGGTACACCTGGCGCACGTGGAGCACGTAGCGCATCTGGCGCACCAGGCGTGACTGGCACGCTCGGGCCCCAGGGCTGCATCTCGCCCCAGCGTCGCGCACATGGGGTCTGTTTTGGTTCCTAGTCACTGCCCATCCAAAGGCGTCCGCTGAACATGCGGAGGCTCGGGAATTACTTACGTGTTGGGAAGGCGGGTGGGAGTGAGCTAGACGGCTTGCTATCAAGACGGTTCAAAAGGCCTCCGAGCCCTCTAAGGACCCCCCAAGAGGACAACATCTCCAATAACAGAAGGAAGATCAATGCTTTTTGCCTTCTCGCCTTTTCGCTTCCAATGGGCTGTTGGGACATCAAGATGGCCCCACGACGGCCCAAGAGGGCCCCAACAGGGGCCCAAGAGTGCGCCAAGAGGGCCCCAAGAGCGCCCAGCAGCGACCCAAAAGCGCCCCAAGAAAGTCCCGAGAAGCCCCTCTTGAGCCTCCCGGGGGGGAGGCCTGACTCCGTGACCCTCCCATTTTTGATGCATTGGGCCCGAGATCGCCCCAAGAGGCCCCCCGAACTCCCACTCTGCATGGTCTCTGCAGGACCTTTGCAGGGTGCCCCCCCCCTGCAAAGACCCTGCAAAGAGGGAAACCCCCTCGTGCTGGTCATGGAGCTTTGGCCCTCACTGTTCCAAGAAAGAGGAGGGTACGAAATTCAGGTTTCCCCCCCCCCCCACCCTTGAAAGCTCAAAGGTCGTGCCGCGTTCCTACTCGGACCCATAAAGGGAGACCTAGGGGTTGGAGATGGGGATCGGTTTCACGGCACTGAAGAAAGGTAGAGCCCCATCAGCAGGCGAAAAAGGAACAGCAAAAAGTTCTGGAACGCGCGCGCGCAGCGGCCTCACCGCGCCCCCGTCGCAAGTACCGCCCGCTAGCTGCCTGGCCCGCGCCGGGCCCCGCGCTCACACTACGTGGTCCCGCACGGCGCAGACGGTGATGCCCTGAGGCGGGCATGGCCCAGGGAATGGCAGTACAGTGGAGACCCATGCCAAGAAACACCCTGCTTGCCTCCAGGGTGCCCTGGGTTTCTTGGGTTACGTTCCAACGCCACAAATCCATGGACGTCCTTGGGTCTCTGGGTTGGGTTTCTTGTGGAAGGTTTCTTGTGGTCGGGCCTCCACTGTACACGTATCAAGGCCGTGCACGGCGGCAGCAGAATCGACGACCGACCGAACCGACAGCGAAAGTGAGACCAAGCGAGATCGACAGGCCGCAGGCAACCCGGCAGGGCGCAGCGGCGCAGCAGCGACACGCCGGACCGAGCCGACCGAACGCAGTCGACTACGACGCAGCCCAAACGACCGAGCCGCGAACACCCGTGTGTGTCCAGGGCCACCGATGGTCCATGTCAGGGACCTTCTGACCCGGCTCAATCCAAACCCGGGTCAGTCAGGCCTTGCCGAATCCTGCAATACCCTGCAAGATCCTGCACCCAAACCCGGGTCCATGCGGAGGATCCTGCAGGATCCTGCACCCACGCCTGGGTCAGTACGCCCCTGGCCCTGATCCTGCAAGGTCTGGCGCTATGGCTGACCCCCGTTTGCATTGACCACCGTCTCTTGAGCCCCGATCCATGCCGTCGGCGAGGCTCCCTGGCGAAGACGTGCAGTGCCCGCCCTGGGCTGTTCACCCCCAGCGTCGCCTCCGTAGCGGGCCCATCGCGGCAAGGCCAAGGGGCGCGCAGGCTGCAGTGGTGCACCACCACCGTGCGTGGCCAGGGCCATCCTGGGCCCTGGGTTGGCAAATTGGTGAGAGACCACGATAAGGGGCGACTGGCATGGGGGGGAGCGTCGACCTGGAATCGGCGATCCATCGAACGATAGATCGTCGATGGGCTCCCGATGGCAATTCCCCACGTTCCTGGGCGGGGTGGGGCTATCAGATCCGGATCGGCGATCTGTGGGCGATTGGGGGTCGATGCATCGCTCCCTGTGTCTATTCCCCCCTATCGTTGCCCCCGGGTTGGTAAGACATCCAAGGCCTGGAAGTCGGTGGAACACCAACTGAGGCTCAGCCATGGCTATCACCGCCGCCCTCATCAGACAAGGAATCACCCAAGGAGTGAAGCCTCTTGGGCACAGCCCTCAACGAACGCCCCCACCGTAACTAGATGAGCACATTCCGTCGATCCCTGTCCTCACTGGCAAGGCCTCCGCCCCCCTGGCCGACTTCCCAACCCGGCTGGGGATCAACGATCCAGGGTCGAGGTTCACGCCCCCCCTCCAGACGGGATGGGCCCCACGGCCCCACGAGCCCCCCATCCCAAGACGAGTTGGGGGGGCGGACGACGACGACGACGGAAGACGACGACGACGATGACGACGGACGACGGACGACGGACGACGGACGACGGACGACCGACGACGACGAGGACGACGACGCCGATGCCGACGACGACGATGACGAAGACGGCGACGACGATGACGACGACAACCACGACTTTACGACCGCGACTTCGTAACCACGACGACGACAAGCATGGCCACGACCACGACCATCCACAACCACGACCCCGACGACGGCACGGGCACCGGCACCGGGGCACCAGCACCAGCACTGGCACCGCAGCACCACTCCACGCCCACGACGTGTGGGGGAAATCCACCACGCCACGCCCACAGGGGGGGGGGGGGGCTCATCGCGCGGGGGGGAGGGGGGGGCGAAGGCATCAGCATGAATGGGGGGGGAGGCGAGGCGGAGCCCTAGATCATTATACGCCCTCCACCTCGGAGGGTGAGCTGGTGGGGCCGAGTGCAGCGGAGGCCAATCCACAAGAAGCTTTCCGCAGGAAGCCCAACCCTGAGACCCCAGGACATCCACTGATCTTTGGTGTGGGAACATCGCAGTGGGTCTGTGCACGGGAGGCCAGTCCACATGAAACCTTCCACAAAAAAACAGCCTTGAGATCCCAGGGCGTCCATTGATTTTTGGCGTGGGAACCTCACGTTTTCCACAGCAAAGCCATCGAACCCCAAGAAACCAAGGGCACCCTGGAGGCAAGCAGGGTGTTTCTTGACATGGGCCCCCAATGTAAGTGAGTTGGCGCCCCTCTTTGGGAGGGATCGCTGTCGGTTTTGCTGAGAACGTTGTTCGTTTGGTAAGTACGACAGGCACCCGCCCAACAGCTGCCGCTGTGACACAGTGTCTGCCGCTGCGCATCCTCCGCATCTTCCTGATAATAAGGGCTCAGGCCCAGGGTTCCCTGTGCGGGCGGGTCGTTGGTCCTAGACTAGACGAGGGCGTTCCACTACTCGCAAAGTAACTAGTCGCAAAATGGCTTGGATCCCCGGCGAGGGATCTACAATAAACTACAACACAGCGGACATGTTTTTTCTCGGACGTTTGCGAGTAGGCACTTTGCGAGTGGTGGAACGCGCTCGGTGATAGAGCCAAAGGGTGTGAAGCAGGGTGCGTCGGATTGGCCGGCGGACTTGCCATGCGCAGAAATGCACACACGCGAAGGAAAGCCGAAGCCGCAGACGGGGTACCTTACGTGCGCCTCGGCGCGCATCAAGCGCGCGTTTTCACAGGTGTACGTGGAAGGGTGGTGTATCCGACACGGGCGGGGCTGTGCTCCTCACGCGTACAAATACCAGCGCGGAGAGGCGGGCGAGCATCGAGCGCGCGTCTGGCACGCGGGCGCCTGGCGCGCGGTCTTCGAGTGCGAAGGCGCTGGGCTCCACGTCAACGCGCGGGCGCGCCAGGGGGGGGAGATTGAACAGGAGTCTGGCACGCCGTGCAACCGGCAGGTGTTCTCACATGCATGGGTGTCAAAGGGGAGGTGCGGTGATGGCATGAGGTTCTGCTCGTCGACGGCCCCGAGAGGCCCGTGCGCGCACAGGAACTCTTCCTGCGCGCCGCGCCCTGGCCGCCCTCACGGGCCGCCGCCGCCGCCGCCGCCCGCCCGCCTCTCGCCGCCGGGCCCCTGGCTCGCGCCTGCGCCAGGCCGCCGCACTCCTGCGAGCGAGCCCCCGGCCCCCAGAGACGGCACGATGAGCCCGACCTCGCGCTCGGAGCGGCCCCCAGGCACGGCGCGAGGAGCGCCCGCTCTCGCGCTCGGAGCGGCCTTCGCCAGGCCGCTCGAGCTCCTGCGAGCGAGCCCCGGCCTCTCCCGGGACGGCGCGGTGGGCCCGCTCTCGGGCTGCTCGGGGCGGGCGGTGGCGGGCGGGGCCCGCGGAACGGCAGCCCCGCCCGCTGCAGGCAGCGCCTCGGCCTGCGCCGCCACGCTGGCGCGGGCCAGCGCCTCTGGCTCCGCCGCAGAGCTGCTGCCTCCCGAGCCTTGCGCCTCTGCGCCCCTCGATAAGGATGACAGGGTCTGGAAGCCAGTGGGAAGCCCAACGTGGACTGGCCACGGATATCACCGCCGCCCTCATATCAGACAAGGAACCCTCGAGGGTCTGCAACTTCATGGGCGCCTTCCGAAACCAACGCCCCCACCGTATCCCAAATGCGTAGGGCACTCGTCTTGGCATGTAACGTGCGTGCAGGCACGTAGGGGGGGGGGGGGGGCATCCACTACTCTTGCGGCACGCGCAGAGTCTCGTCCTCTCGCGCCTCGGGCGGCAGGTGCACGAGCATCCCTGGCTGTTCCCCGGGCTCGTGATTATGAATATGAGTAGCAGTATCAGTATCAATATAATAATTATTCGGCGTTTCGACATTAGGCGGAAAGGGGGGAGGGTGTGTGTATGGCTCTGGACCCCTGCTTAGCACGACTGTTTGGAACAGTGCGTCCTGAGGGGGAGGGACTGCTCGAAACAAGCGCCTAACAACAGCCAAGATCTACTCCATGGGGGGGGGGGGGGAGGGGGAAGTGCGGGCCCGCGCCGATCGGCAAAACAACTAATGAAAAAACGACCACGAGGGAGAGGATCACTGAGGCTGAGGAGAGGAATGACATCGATGAGGACACCCCCACCCCCACCGAGGGCACCCACCTCCGACCTGGTGATCCAGGGTGCCCTGGGTGGGGGTGGGGGTGTGTTTTTGGGCCCCGCGGCTCTTACAACCCATCCCCACCCCTACCCAGGTCACCCTGGACCACCAGGTCGGAGGTGGGTGCCCTGGGTGGGGGTGGGGGTGGGTTGTGCTGTCCTCAATCGAGGAGGAACTGGGACGAGCAGGGAGGGGCGAGGGAGCACGGGGAGGGGAAGAGCAAGAAGCCCACGGAGGTCCCAGGAGATCGGGCGACGCCCCGGGAAGTCCTCGAGGGCCCAGGACGTGTCCCAGAGGCCATCGGATGGTCCAGGCGACTCCTGCAAGTCATTGTGAGGAAGTCTCCAGCGACAGCAAATGGCCTTGCTAGAGCACCCAACACCACATACCATACAAACCGTTTTTATCAAACACGTGGCATACACTCGCGTCGGACTAAGTTTTGGCCTATCATCCTCGCCAGGTTCGTGGGTCCCGCTTGCTGCCCCCATTTCACACCGAGATCAGGGATGGGAAAGACAATTCGGCGGTGGACAAACCTCTATTTAGTAAACCGCCCTTGAATGAAAACGGCCTAAGACCGAAACCGGCGGACCTAGACCCGCAAAATGACGGCCGCGACTCCCTCTCGCGAACCCGAAACGGCCAATTCGCTCATCGACGTGTCAGGGTAGGAGGTCTATCAGCCTCCGAACGATAGAAGCGCCCTGTTTGCCGCGACTCGCCGCGCGGTCCCCAACGCATGCCAGCGAGCGGAGCCCGAGAGGCAAAGCCTCGGACCCACAGGGGAGGCGCTGGGAGAGCAACGCGGGGCGGGCTGCGCCTCGGAGCTGCCGTCCCCCTTTATCCCGCCGGACACGCTGCTGGGCAGTTGTATAGGCGGCGCTGCACACTGGGAAGTCGCGCTGCCATTCTCCTTCGGGGATCTCGCTCCTCTGTGGCTCGGTCACTCGCCCACTCGCGCACTCACTCCCTCGGCTTTTTTTGTCCAGGGGGAGGCGCGCCAGCTCCACCGCCTCGCGAGACCAGCCCCACTTCTGCGCCCTCCCTCCTCCTCCTCCTCCTCCTCCTCCTCCTCCTCCTCCTCCTCTTGGCTCCTCCCTCCTCCCTCCTTCTCTTGGCTCCTCCCTCCTCCCTCCTCGGCTTTTTCCTCTCCCTGTCACCCGCCCCTGACGACCGGCCGCCACTGGGGGAGCTGTACTCTGTACTCCCTGCCCCCCCCCCCCCCCCCGTGGGGGTGGCGATTTCTCGAGAGGGATGTCGAAGCCGATGCCCCACCCCCTCCTCCTCCTCCTCCTCCTCCTCCTCCTCCTCCTCCTCCTCCTCCTCCTCCTCCTCCTCCTCCACCTCCTCCTCGCCCCCAGAACTCCCCCAGCTGCGGCAGGTTTACGTCGACTCGGCGGCGAGCGAGGGGGGACAGGAGAAGGAGAAGGCTTCCTCAGAAGGCGGCGGGACACCTCAGAAGCCCTCGCGCCTTCTGAAAAGATTTTGTCTGCGTCTTCGGGGAAGGCTTACAAGAACTTCTCAGAAGGCCGGGGGGCTTCCGAGCCTTCTGAGAAGTTGAAGGCCCGCCCCTTCTCACTCCCCCCCCCTCGCTCGCCGCCGATGTTCGGCGCCCGCAGTGGGTGTGGACAAAACTGGGCACGACGCCCGGCAGCAGCAGCAAGCGTGGCCCAAAACACTGACAGCGGCCGCCGTGGGACGCGGGACACCCCCGCCCGCGGCGGCGGCACCGACAAGGCGAGCCCTGTTCGGAATGAGCAAGGACTGCTGTCGGCCCTCGTAATTACTTGCCCATTATTCCCGTGCTGTCGGACCTAGGATTTTGGACGCGATGACAATGGACACTCTATCCGTTCCAACATTGAAAACATGTCTTTCAAATGTCTTCTACATGCTTTAACCTGTTCGGGCACTGTTTTAAATATGTATCATTTACATACATGTTTGAAGCATGTTTTAGACATCTGGGAAGTATTTGGCAAAATGCCCATCCTCCATTGTTCGAATTCCACAAACCTAGGACAGAAGAACAACCCTCCGAAGGCCAAGGCAGCCCAGACCATAAGATCACTCGAGGATGCCCTCCCCCAGGGGTGCACAAGAACATCCAACACACATACACACACACACACGAGGAGCGTCAAGGCACCCTCCCCGAACAGACCTCGGTCTTGTGCCCCGGTCCGACAATAACCCGTCTCAACCGCACCGATGGCTGCACGGCCTTGGCGTTGGAGACCATGTAGGCCGCGAAGCTCCCGTTGCCCGTCATCCCGGGTCCGACGACGAGCATCGAGGCCTTCTCGGCCGAGCACGCCTGCGGCGGAGGAGGGCGCTCCCGCTCGAGGGCGCGGGGAGTGACCCGGGAGCAGACAGCCTCGAATGGGAAAGTCGTGAGAGTCAAACCGTACACAGTAGAGGCCAGTCCACAAGAAACCTTCCACAAGAAGCCCAACCCTGAGATCCCAGGACGCCTATTGATTCTTGGCGTGGGAACCTCACGCGTTCCACAGCAAAACCAACGAAGCCCAAGAAGTCCAGGGCACCCTGGAGGCAAGCAGGGTGTTTCTTGGCATCCCACTGTATAAAGGACGCACGATGATGCTGCAAGGGCCCCAGAAAGCCATGCCGACACTCTGCGGGCGAGCCGTGGCTAGCGAAGGCGGCTCAGGATGGGCCGAAGGGACAAATGCACGGGTGGCCATGAAAAGGTGTTCGTTTTTCCTATGCGGGTTGGTTGTATCTTGCATCTTCGGGGAATCTCGTCTGTCCCGTTGCGCCTCTACCCGCGTCGAATCCGTGCCGAATCCATGTCGGACTCGTCGCCGCATCGGCACAAGAGTCGAGATCGATTGAGTCTGTCGTGGGCGGCAGGTCTGGAGGTGGGCCTGGGCGCCGCGACGGGTGACCATGTATACTCTATCCATCGCTTGAGCCGCCAACTCCATCTTCATGAACAGATTTGTCCGCGAACCCCGTCTTAATGAAAGGGTTTGGCCGTCAACTCCAGGTTGACGAACCCCCTTGACGGCCTCCTTCCGAATTGACGAATCCGCTTGACGGCCTCCCTCCGGGTTGACGAACACCCTCGACGGCCTCCCTCCAGATTGACGACCCCCCTTTACGCACCCCCCGGACGGTCTTCGTCTGGGGTGGCGAACCCCCGTGACGGCCTCCCTCCGAGTTGATGAACCCCCTTGTCGGATCCCCTCGCCGCCCCCTCCGTCTTGACCGACAAAGCATCGGGGCCGAACTGATGGTTCAAAACGACCTCGGTCTTGACGCAAAAAGTGTCGGGGCCGAGTTGACGGCTCCTCTCGTCTTGACGAACGAAATGTTGGAGCTGAATTGAATACTGTTTTCGCCGAAACATGTTCAAACATGGTCATCAAGTAATCGATACATCGCCCCCATATTTTTCATTTTTGAATATGCATCTTGTAGAGGGACGTGCCCGACTTAACCCTAGCCGGGTCGAATCTGTGTCGAATCCATGTCGGACTCGTGGGATCCGTGTCGAATTCGCGCCGAATCCGCGCCGGATCCACGCAACAAGCCGCGCCGGGCACCAGAGAAGACACCAACCAGATGGAGGCACGCGCGAGGGCCCCCGAAGAAGCCGCGCAGTTGACGGAAGCAAGAAGGAGCAGGCCTTCGCAGAATAGAAACAGCACAAACATACACTTTTGGCGGTGCGCGCGGATTTCTCGGATCTGCGCTGGGCCCTCCCCCTCTGGCGCGCGGAGCGCGCCAGGGGCGGCGCGGGAGGCGCCGCCGGGGGGCACGGCGTGGATCCAAGAAATCCACGCGGAGCGCCTCAAGCTTATGCTCCAAGCGTTTTTCTTCTTCGACTCTCAGAAGGCCGCGGGGCTTCTCAGAAGCCGCCGGCCATGGCCTCCTGAGGACCATGTCCTGCGTCTCCGGGGAAGGTCCGGAGAAAACTTCCTTCCGGAGGCCCGAAGGTCTCTCCGAGCCTTCGGTCGGGCGTGTCCCCCTGCAGGCGGGTTTTGGGCGACGGATCAAAAGCTCAAAACATGCCCAACAGCAGTACAGAGTAGTCAACGCATCGCCCCCTGACTTTTTTTTGGGGGACCATTTTGGAATATTCCTCCTGTCGGCGGTGGACAAGCCTCCCTCTAGTAAACCACCTTTTAGGGAAAACGGCCTGGGACCGAAACCGACGGACCTGGACCCGCAAAAATAACGGCCGTGACGCCCCCTCGCGAGCCGGAAACGGCCAATCCAATAATCAACGTGTCAGGGTAGGAGTTCTATCCACCTCCGATCCTGTATTTGGACGCCCGAAATGGGCACGGAAAGAATGGGCACAATGCCCAACAACAAATGTTGTCCCAAACCAACAGCGGTCGCTGTTGGGCGGGAGGCCTTCTGTCTCGAATGGACACAGGCCGCGGCGGCGCGGACAGCGAGGCCTGTTCATAATGAACAAGATCCGCTGTTGGGCATTGTACCCATTCTTCCCGTGCCCATTTCGCTCGTGCAGATCAGCTCACGTAGCTGATTTTCCCGGCGCCTCCCAGCGCTGGGAGGCGCCCATGTATCGAGGAAAATGAGCCCGGCGGCGGGGCCGAAACCAGCTGCACGCAGCAGATTTCGTACCCCCCCGTTTCCCTATCCCCCCCCTTCGTTCGCCCCGCGCCCTCGGCGAGGGCTGTGCGGCACCCATCGCACTTGAAGGCCACATCCCAGAAATAATTTCGAGCGCCCGGAAGAGTGTCGGAAGAGTGTCGAAGCAGTGTCTCCCAGGGCCCGACACGTGAAGACCATCGAGATTCGGTGTTTTGCTGGTGCTCGGAATTCTTTCTGGTAATAAAGGCTAAAGTAGGTTGGAGCATCATAAGGCGGCTGCCAGAACGCCTCTCTCATTGCACCGGCCTTGCAGACGTGCTGCAGCGGATTTCTGCGCGGGCTTCTCCCAATGCAAAAACCAAGCCCCTAGAAACGGCGAGCGAAAAACGAAGTGATTTCCACGTGAATTGTTGTTGGTCTTCCTTCCTGGCTACAAAAAATCCACACGAAATTCACCTCGAAATCCGGAACGAAATTCTCCAGGACACTCCGGGCTCATCTTACCGTTGTCCGAACGAAATCCGCTCTGCGATGTTGGCGCCACGACCTCTCCCGAGGCCTGAGAAAGCCGCCGCCGCTCGACGACAGCGTCGGAGCACCTCGAGCCTCTCGAAGCCGTAGCTACCCTGAGGTCGGGCAAGTCCTCCTACAAGCGGACTCGGAAAGAACAATGAAACATGGTCGTCGAACCGTGTTCAAAAATAGAATCAAAATGGTAGAAACATCGCCCCCAGGCTATTCTTTCCGACTACTTTTGGGTGCTCCTCCTGTGGAGGGACGTGCAGACGTAAAACTGCCCGAGCTGCCCGAACACCCGAAGCTGTCCCCCCCGGGCTCGCCGCGCCGCCGCGAGGAGCACGTGGCGCGCGCGCGCCCCGCCGCGAGGAGCAGCTACCGTTTCTGACGTGGCCGGTCGTTCGAGTTTGACCGATCCCCGCGGTGTCAGGAAAGGAGGAGGAGGAGGAGCAGGAGGAGGAGGAGGAGGAGCAGGAGGCTTACCAGCCTGGAACATATCCCTATCCCTAGGCTGGGCACCTCCTCGTCACGATGCCAATCTTAGGGATTCCCTTATTTTTGAGGGCGAATCCCTGAGATTGTCATCGCCTTTTGGCGTATCAATCTTAGGGATAGGGATACGTTCGAGGCTGGTAAGGGGCCAGTGCCGAAGTCGGCAAAACAGGGCTAGGATCGGGATAAATCGCTCCAGAGCGTTCCGGAGCGCTCTCAGAGCGTTCCGGAACGCTCTGGAGCGGCCGCGGCGCCCAATACATCCTCCAGACCCGCCGATTCTCAGAGATTCCGAGTTATCCCGATCCGATTTTGTCCCGATCTTCGCGTCGTTTTCTTGGCATGGCACGCATCTGCCGCACTCGGACCCGAGCGGCTGCATCGGCGACGCCGGGCGTGGCGTCGGCGTGGCGGAGACCGGGCTCCGCATCGAGCCGCATCGCCGAGGCATCGGCGGCGCGGCGCGCTCCTCCGGCATGCAGCCCCCTCGGTTCCCGTGTGGGAGGCCCGGAGTCGAAGATGGCACGCACGAGGACCGGCCATCCGGAGTAGGGGCTGCCCCATCTCGAGATCTGCTTAAGCAGTTCGGCGACGCCGAAAGTCCTGGAGCTCTCTTCGAAGGGTCCTGTCGTCCTCGAGAGGCACAGGGCCCAAGATGGCACGACAGTGCTACAAGAGGATGTTTCAATTGCGCTAAGGTTTCCTCAATGGTTCTCCAGGATGCCACGAAATGGCAGACGATATCAATACAAGAAAATAAGCTGACCTGGACAACTTCAACCGTTTTCGATCAGAGTGCACCCAAGTCGAGACAATTCCCTCTTCCTCCCACATCCTAACTCCGCTCCTCCCATCCGCATCAGCTCGCATCCTCCCCTCCCTCTTTTTACCTCCCTTCCCCTCCTCCTGCTCCTCCCTCCCTCCCTCCCTCCCTCCCTCCAACTCCTCCAAGTCCCTCATCCCCCCCCTTGATCAGATTTCTCGTGCTCCTCATCCTCGTCCTCGTCGTCGTCGTCCTCCTCCTCCTCATCCTTGCCACCTCCGATTGTTATAGTCCTTAACCTCGTCCTCCGTGTTCTCCTCCTCGGGCTTCTTTTGCCGTTCTCCACGCCTCTCAAGCCTTGATTGGCTTGAGCGCATTCTCGTTTGTTCGGAGCCACTGGTGGCACCATCAATCGTTGAAGTTTTAGGCAAACTATAGAAGAGGACAGGCTCTACGGGAAGGAGGCCGAACATGTCGAGCCATCGTTCGGCTTGTCTTGAGCCCCTGGCCGAGATTTCTGGCGAAAGCGGCAGCGAGGAGGACCGTGAGCACGACCAGTCTTCCGAGGAGCACGATTCATCATGCCACACCAGCATGTGGCAGGATTTGTCGACACGCCTGATCCGAGTGAGGCGCATTGAACGGTCTGCGACCACCAGCTGCAACGACATGTTTTTTTCAATGTCTCTGCCGAGCTGCGCTTAGTATGAAGGACTACCAGACCTGGCCAACGCGCTACAGGAATATGGCAGAATCTTGGCGGCATGTCCGCAATGCCTCTGGACAAAACTATCGAAGCAAGAGTTCGAAGTCCCCTAACTATAGGGATGTACACCATACTATTGTTTGGAGGGAGGTGTGCGAGAAATTCCATCTGGGGACCTACGACCTACTGTTGAAATCTTGTACATTCCTGCGCATATTGTTTCTCGATGATTTGTTACAGAGGAGCGTGTGGCATGATAGTGCCCCGAAGTGCGCATCGCACGAAGCTAACAACAAGTACTACGGCCTGGGGCTGCGGCCACGTCCGCATCGCGCGGTCCGAAATCGGCCCGTCCCTCCCCCTCCGGAGGGACGTTCTGCGTGTCTCGTCTCGTCTTTCGTCTCGCCGACAACCCTCAACTCGTTACTCAAAATCTGCCTCCTCCCCATCATCACATGTAATTACCATCGTACTCATGCATCTCTTCCATCGTCTTCCTCGTCGTCGTCGGCGTCCTCCTCCTCCTCCTCCTTCTCCTCCTCCTCCTCCTCCTCCTCCTCCTCCTCCCCATCTTCATAAGCGTCTTCATCACCATCGCCCCTCTATCATTCCTCCCTGACGCTCCTCGTCCAACTCGTCCACGTCGTCATCATCCACCTGCCCCTCCTATTCATCCCTCTTCAGGCCCCCATGCTGACGCGCCTCTTTCCTGCTTGCTGTTGCTGCTGCTGCCGTCCCGACAGGGTGCCCTGCCCCTGGGGTCCAGCAATGCATGAAGGTGCACACCCGACTTGTCTGGCTGATTCTCCAGAGGCCCGGGCTTGGGACGTGTCGACAACCGCCGCCCTCTCCCTCGTCGGTGGCCCTGACGAAATTTGCGGAGAGGGTGCCGAAACGCGTCCAGAGCCCAGCAAGGCATCATGGTTCAAACCCGACTTTGCCCAGCTGACGCTCCGGGGAGTGGCCTGTGCTCGGGGGGAGCTGCAGCACCGCTCAAAGATGCGTTTAACCGAAGCTGCAGGGCGGGCCCCTCCCCTCTGCTCGGCTCCAGCGGGGCCTTCTCGGCCTCACATGCTGACGCGCACCCCGTCGTCCTTCCACCTCTTCCTCCACTCCCGTGTCCTCCTCGTCGTCCTACTGCTGGTCAGCATCCCCCTCCTCTGGTTACCAGCTCTCTTCGTCGAGCTCTTCTCCCCTTGTCCAGTTTGGTCTTCTCCTCCTCATCTGAATTCATCCTCCTCCCGCTCCCCATCCTCCTCCCCGTCCGCCGCCTCCCCTCCCACGCGAAGCCGAGAGAGAAGAGACGACGTCGGGAAGCCGCGCCGACGCCGGAGCCTGCACCATGCTCGCCTTCGGGTCGTTCGACGGGGGCAGGACCTTGTACTTGATCTCGACCTGCTGATGCGGTGAGGAAGCTCTTTTTCATCCTGATCCTCCCCCCTCCTCGCCCGCTCGCTCGTCGCCCTCCCTCGCCCCCTCCCCACCTCCAACTCCTCCTCCTACTCCTCCTCCTCCTCCTCCTCCTCCTCTCGGTCCTCCTCCTCCTCCTCCTCCTCGTTCTACTCCTCCCCTACCTCCGTCCGTGCGCGAGGGGTGGGGATGATGATGAAGACCTTGTAGTTTGGCTCACAAGGCAAATGTCCAAATGGGGTAAGGCGAGAGGCCAGGACTGGGTGCTGGAAGCTCGTCCAGCACCGTGCGCACCGGGCCCGTTACGACGCGGCCCGCGGGGATCGCCTCGCCCTGCGGAAACCAGCTCTGCAGGCCGCGTGTGCTGGGGTAGCGGGGGTGCAGACTGCAAAGGGTGGTGGTTTCGGGAATCGGACTTGCGCCGCCACTGCAGATACGAGCTTCCAAGATGTGGCTGTGTCAAGCTTCTTCGTTCGCGCCGCGAGCTGTTGTTGCAGGGGGCGAGTTCGAAGCGGGGCCGACTCGCTGACAAGAAAGATCGGGGGAAGCCTCGCGCAGTGACCACAGGTGGGGTCACCATGGCTCCCTCTTGAGTTGGAGCGGCCGGCGCCCTCATGATATGTAGGCGGGGTGAGAAGAGTTCTGGGGCGGAGCCGCGACTCCCGAGCGACAACTGGACAAACCGCTGGGCAACGCCCCGGCGCTGTTCGGACAAATTTTGGACGACGCCCCGCCGTTTGTTGGACAAACCGCTGGACGATGCCCCGATGATGTGTGGACATTCATGGGGCGACGCCCCGCCGTTGTCTGGACATCGATTTGGACAGCGGCGAGATCGTTCTGACTCTGCTTGCCTCCTCCAGTAAAATCAACACCTGCTTCGTTGAATCCCGCCCCTTCCTCCGCGCGTCACCCCTCCCTCATCGTGCGGGGCCTTCTTGCCCAGCGCCTCCATCTCTTGAGCCGCCACCTGGGAGCGGGGCGGTGAGGCGGCAGAAGCGCTCATCCTCGATGATCATGCAAGACTCTCCTCCTCCTCCTTCTCCTCCTCATCCTCCTCCGTCCCTCTTCCGTATCCGTAACTCCTCCCTGTCGTAACCCGAGGCACGTCGGTAGGGCGGGCTGGGCGTTTCGCCTGCACCTTCGCCACCATTCATGAAACCTGCAAGGCCTTCACGCATGGAGAGCAAGCAGCTTGCAAAATGTGGCTCTCGGCATAGCGTCGCGCGCACTTATCTTGAAAGTTTGCAAGAGATTCACAGATGGAGGGTGGGCCGTTTTCAAAACATGGCTCTCGCCTTAGCGCCGCGAACAATAGTTTCTTGAAAAATTGTAACACTTCACGGATGGAGGGCGGGTGTCTTCAAAATGTGGCTCTCGTCACATTGCCGCGCAAATTCCTCCCAAAACCTGTGCAACCATTTTACGGATGAAGGGCGTGTCTTATGAAAATCTGGCTCTCGCCATAGCGCTGCGCTCATTTGTTTTGAAAGTTCGCAACTGTGCCAAATATTCGCATGGCCGAAGTCCCATGAACGCAACAATCAGGTGGTTTCGCGGTGTTGATGTCCCAGGAGTGGTTTTCTAGCACGGCTTAGGAATGTTATGGCGCAACAGTCAAAGGACTCGCGATGCTGAAGTCCCAGGAACTGTGTTTTGGCACGACTGAGGATTCTCCGACGTTTATCTTCCAATGGGACATTTCCGGCAACCAGCATCAACTCTTGTAGGGCCATCCGGCTAGGGAACTTGGACGGAGGGTGTATTGCAACGTCGCTGGTGCGTCGCAGGCTTACACGAACTGTCCTCCTCGCCCTGCTCCTCCGCTCTCGTCCCCCTTGCCCTGCTCCTCCCCCAGTTATCCTGCTCAACGCCCGCTCTCCCAGGCCGTTCCCTCTTCTCCGTCTCCGTCCCTCCCGTTCCTCCCGCTCCTCCATCCCCCCCCCCGCATCTCGCCCTCCGTCCCCAGGGCAGGGGAGGGAGGCGCGGGATCACAGCTTGGGCACGCCTGCCCACCGAGGCGGCGCGAGGTCCCGGCGGAGCAGGACGCACACGTCCTTCTCCTCCTCCGCCTCCTCCTCCTCCTCCTCCTCCTCCTCCTCCTCCCCCTCCTCCACCTCCTCCTCCTACATGTCCTGTTGTTCTGCAACCTCCGCTGGTCCTCCTGTTGGTCCCTCCCATTATCGCATCGTCCCGCCCTCTTCTTCCTCGCCTTCCCCCCTCCCCGCCCCCCGCCCGCCCCCCCTCCTTCTCCACTGGCATGGCTGTGACCCACTGGCGAACTTCACCCCCCAAATGGGGATCGGTGCTGCTCCCTTCGGGTTCCGTGGGGCCCTGCGCCCTCTCGACCCGTCGGTATCGGCTCGTCCCATCCTCCTCCTCCTCCTCCTCCTCCTCCTCCTCCTCCTCCTTCTCCTCCTCCTCCTCCTCCTCCTCCTCCTCCTCCCCCTGCTCATCCTCCATTCCTTTTCCTCATGAACAACTTCTCCCTGTCGCACCAAGAGGCGAATGTTTAGGGCGGGCCCGGCGTTTAGCCTGAGACTTCTTCACGATCTATGGCACTGACGCTGAAAACACGGCAGGAGCTTCACAGATGGAGGGCGAGAGGTTTCCACAAAGTGGCTCTCGCCTTAGCGCCGCGGACATTTGTTATTCAAACCTCGCACGCGCTTCACGGATTGAGGGCGGCTGGTTTCCAACATGTGGCTCTCGCCTTAGCGCCGCGTTAAAGGATTGCAAAGAGCTTCGCGGATTGAGGGCGGCTTCTTACCAAACTGTGGTTCTCGCCTTAGCGCCGCGTGCACTCGTTTTGCAAATTTGCGGGAGCTTCACGAGTGAGGTCGATTCCTTTTCAACATCTGCCCATAGCCTTAGCGCAGCGCACATTCGCTTACACACTGTACAACATTTCCACCCATTCACATGATACCGGAGAAAAGCCCCAATCAGCGCTGTAGGGCTAGGGGGCTATAGGGCTATTGAGCTATAGGGCTATAGAGCTTTAGGGCTATAGAGTTGTAGGACTATAGGGCTATTGGGCTATGTGGCACCCCCGGGCACCCTCAGTCACCCCCGGGCACGCCTGGGCACCTGGGCACCCGGGCGTGCAGCAAAAATCGGCGGCAAACCTAACCTAACCATGTGAATCCGCTAGGGCCCCTACAGAGGCAAGCTCTGATTGGAGAATGATCAACGTATCAGAACCAGGTGTTTGAAATATTCAAGACCATGCGGGTGCAACAGTTACGTTGATTCGCGGTGTTGCAGTCCCGGAAATGGCGTTCTGGTACGATTCAGGCTCGTCAAGACACAACAGTCAGGTTGATCTGTGGCGTTGAATCCCGAGAACAATGCTTTGGCGTGCTTCAGCATCTTCAAATCTTTGTCATCCGATGAGGGCATTTCCCCCAGCGGAGATGAGACACTGTAAGAGCCTATGAAGAGCAAGCTTGGAGGGAGGGCTTATTCCAACATCGTTGATGACTCTTGGATTCACACTGGTCCTCCTCTCCTCCTCCTCCTCCTCCTCCTCCTCCTCCTCCTCCTCCTCCTCCTCCTCCTCCTCCTCCTGGCCACCCCCACCCTCCCACGCTCGCGCTCCCCCTCCTCCTCGTCGCCCCTTCCTCCCCTCCCCCTCTCCCCCGCTCCTCTCCTCCTTCCCCTGCTCCTCCTCCTCCTCCTTTTAATCCTCCTCCTCCTGTTACTCCTCCTCCTCCTCCTCCTCCTCCTCCTCGTACTCCCCTTGCTCCATTACTTTTCCTTGTGCATAACTCCTCCCTGTCGCATCCCGAGCCCACTCGGAAGGGCGGGCCGGGCGTTTCGCCTGAGACTGCCTTGCTATCTACGAGCCTCAAGTGGAAAGACTGAACATCGTTTCACACATGGAGCGCGGGCCACTTCCAACACGTAGCTCTCGCCGTAGCGCCGCGCACATCCGCTTCCACACACTGCAAGGGCTTCGCGGATTGAGGACAGGCCGCTTCCAGAATGTGATTTTCATCACAATGCCGCGCACGTCCCTTTGTGAGCATGTGCAAGAGGTGTGCGGCTTGGGGCGTGCCGTTTTAAGACATGTGGCTCTCGCCTGGGAGCCGCGCGCATTCGTTGCAAGGGTTTCACGGATTGACGGCGGGCCGTTCTCGAACTGTTACTCTCGCCTTGGCGCCGCGCACAGTCGTTTTAAACATCAGCAAGGGCTTCACGCATGGAGGGCGGTCCCTTAAAAAACATTAGCCGTCGCCTCGGCGCCCCGCACATGCCTTTCAAACAATGCAAGAGCTGCACGGATTGAGGGTGGCTCCGTTTTAAAAGTATGGCTCTCGCACTAGCCCCGCGCATATGAAAGTACCTAACCAATCATTCACGATGTTTGTGAGTTTCATGGTTGACGTACCAGTAATGGTGTGTTGGAATGGTTCAGGGCTGTCAAAGCGCAACCTTTACGTCGATTCGCGATGTTGAAGTTCTAGGAATGGTGGTCTGGCACGGGTCAGGATCGTCAAGACGCATCAATCAAGTTCACTCGTGCCGTTGAAATCCTGCGAATGGTGTTTTGGCACCATTCGGGATTTTCACACGGTTGTCCCCCAACGGGGTACTTCCCTCAGTGGGTGTGAACCCTTGTACAGGGCCTATGAAGAGGGATCTTGGAGGGAGGGTGTATTCCAACATCGTTGATGAGTCTTGGGCTTCCACTGGTCCTCCTCCTTATCCTCCTCCTCGCCGACCTCCCTCCTCCCCTCCCCCCCGCTCCTCCTTCTCCTCCTCCTCCTCCTCGGCCTCCCCCCCCCTGCTCCTCCTCCTCGCCTTCCCCTCCCATCCTCCCTCCCCCCCCCGGCTCCTCCTTCTCGTCGGCTTTCCTCCCGCCCGCTGCTCGCGAGGGAGAGGTGGGGGGGCTGGTGGACGGCCCTCGAGCGCCTCCTGGAGCTGCTGCTGCATGCTCGCGCTCACCTTCGACGGCAGGTTGGCCAGGGCCTCGAAGGTCGACTGCGCGAGTGCGGGCTCGGCGCTCCCTGCACTAACTCCCTCCCGCCTGCAGCTCCCGCTCCCTCCGTCTCATCTTCCTTCTCCTCCTCCTCCTCCTCCTCCTCCTCCTCCTCCTCCTCCCTGATCGTCTGTTCCTCCTCCTCCTCCTCCTTCCTCCTCCTCCTCCTCCCTCCTCTCCTGATCTTCCTGTTCCTCCTCCTCCTCCGCCTCCTCCTCCCTCTCGTCCTGTCCTGCTAGTCGTCCTCCTACTCCTCCTACTCGTCCTCCTCGTTCTCGTCCTCCTCCCTCGTCTCCTCCTCCTCTCCTCTCCTCCTCCTCCGCCTCCTCCTCCTCCTCCACTCATTCATCATCATCATCATTATCCTTCCTCCTCCTTCTCCTCCTCCTCCACCTCCTCCTCCTCCTCTCCTCCTCCCCTCCCTCCTCTCCTCCTCCTCCTCCTCCTCCTCCTCCTTCCTCCTCCTCCTTCCTCCTCCTCCCTCCTCCTCCTCCTCCTCCTCCTCTCCTCCTCCTCGCCTCACGTCCTCCTCCTCCTTCCTTTTCCTTTTCCCTCCTCCTCCTCCTCCCTCCTCCTCCTCTCCTCCTCCTCCTCCCCCTCCTCCTCCTCCTCCTCCTCCTCTCTCCTGCTTGCTCCTCCTCCTCCTCCTACTCCTCCCCCTCTCCTCCTCCTCCTCCTCCTCCTCCTCCTCCTCATCCTCCTCTTGTCCTGGGAAGATGGGCCAGGGGAGGGTACTTCGACCTCGCGGACCCTGCTGGAGATTCGGGCAGCAGAGCGGCCTGGCGGATGAGCCGGGGGGGTCCTGCGGCCTCGCGGGTGCCCACTCGGCCAGCCACACTGCCCCGCAACAGCCAGGGATTGGGGGCGGGGGGCGGCAGGGGGGCCGGGCGAGTGTGTTGTGGCCTCGCGGGCCGTCCCACCCAACCCTACTGCCCCACAACCGCTCGTGGTTGGGGGCGGGGGGCGGCCGATGGATGGGATGGGGGAGGGTCCTGTGGCCTGGCGGGCCGTCCAACTTGCCCTGCCCATTCGGCCAGCCCACCTGTCCCGCAACCGCCGCCGGAGGTTTGGGGCGGGGGGCATGGGCCGGGAGAGGGTCCTGTGGCCTCGCGGGCCGTCCAGCTTGCCCACTTGGCCAGCCCCAGTCCCGCAACTACTGGGGACTGGGGGCGGGGGGCGGCTGGGGGGATGAGCCCAGACCCAGCCTTCAGGGGGCTTGCAGGATGCCCAACTCCCCCGTGCCCCGCTCAGTCGCCCGCTTGTACCGAGCATGGAGGATCCAATGAACCACGGGTTTGCGGGCTGTCTTGCCGCCCGCCTCGTCATGCGTCGCTCCACCGCCCGCGCGAGCCGTTCCGGGCTCGGGTGCCAGGTTGACACTTGGGGGTTGGTGCAAATTCTGGGCGAGGCAGTCGAAGGGAGGCCTCGTTTCGATCGCTCCCGCAGCCGCAGCCGCCATGGCAAGGACCGGTCTCACCCGGAGCGCCAGGAGCCGGCATCTTCGCAGCGCCCCCACCCTTCACCCTCGCGCGGTCGGGCGGCGACGCCAGCGCAGTGCAGCACCTACGCTGCCTCGGAGGTGTGCCGCCGCCAGGGGCCCCTCGACCCCGCGAGTGAGGCGGCCCCAGCACCTGGCCCCTGGCGGACACTCAGCCTGGCCGGACCCCCCGTCCTTGGGGACAAGCGCGCCTTCGGCGGACTTCGCAGCGCAGGCGTGGGCAGCGGCGGCACTCCTGCGCCAACGGGCGCAGATGCAGCATCACGCGACTTCCAAGCAGCTGCCTTCGCGCGCGCAGCAGCGCCCAGGACGCTTCGTGCCCCCTCTCGGACCGGCGGGAACGCCTCGCTGGGGGCTTGGAGGCTGCAGGGGCCCGGGGACCGCCGCAGGCGCCGCCAGAAGACGCCAAGAGCCCGAGTGAGACGCTGAACGCTTCGCTGCCGAAGCATTCAGCGTTTCACACGCGCTCCCTCGACGGCCCTGTCCCCCCTCAGCGCCGCCTCGGGAAGCTGACCGTCCTCCACAAGCCCGCGGCCTCCGCAGGGGCACCGTGTGCCACGGCCCTCGCCGGCGGACAGGCGGCTCCGACAGGCGCCCAAAGGGGGGGCACCGCGGGGAGGTGCTCTGCGCGGCGCGCCCACCAGTGTGCGGGCGGGTGACTGCGCTGCTGCGCTGCTCGCTGCCGGTACGAGCCGCGCGCCCCGCGCGTGCCCCGCGCGTGCACCAATCGGGCGGGCCCCAAGAGGCAGTCCTCTGGGGCGCCCCTTCGGGGTGCCACCCGCTAACCAGTTGCGCTGGCCCGTGGGGCCTCTGGGATGGCTGGCGCTCGCAACGGGGTGGACCTGCCCCGGGGGGGCCCCCGATGCTGCGTGCAATGCATAGACGCAATCCCCCTTCCCCTCCTCCCTCCCCCCCTTCTCGTCCTCCTCCTCGTCCTCCTCCTCCTCTTTGAGGCCCACCATCGGATGCAGGAGGCCGCGGACGCGCGGGTGGCCGATGCCCCCCTTCCCGATGAGCGCGTCTCCAGGGCCGCTGACGAGTGGGGCCCTCGAGGAGATTGCGAACGCCTAGCTGCAGATGAGCATGATCCCATCGACGATCTAGACGAGTATCTCGACAGCGTGCAAGCAGGTGATGCGCAACAACCTCCAGAAGATGGCGATGAGCATATGGCCGAGCCACAGATGGAAGGTGTGACGGAGTGAAAGCAAGTGGCATCCTCGAAGCAGCATCAGCCTTGAGCCCACAGCTGAGTCGAAGCGAGTGCAGGTGGCTTCCTCGACGAGCTTGGACGTTCCAGAGCTATCGGTGGACCTCCCCCGAGGCAGTCTGCAGTGAGTCTCAGCGCTGTATGGCAACATCACGAAGTGGGGCAACAAGGTCCACAAGTTCGTGGCGAGCCAAGAGTTCAACTTGTGCATGTTCGTCGAGACACACCTCGACGATGAGAGGACCGCAGAGGTGCAAGCGTCGGTGAGGAAGGACGGATGGAAAATGGTCGCCACGCCTGCCAGGGCGAGTGGACGGTCTGAAGCAGGCACGTCGGCAGGAGAGGCCATACTTGCACGGACCCATGCTGCAACCTCGTCGTTCGAGCACCTCGCCAAGTACCGATCGAGCAGCGCGGCGAGCCCCTTCCATAGTTTCTCGGCCCCCGTGCGGCACCTGAAGGGCGGCTACCTCGCCCCCAAGTTCAGGCTCGCGACGGGGCCTAACGTGAAGACGCTGAGGGCGCTCGTATCCTTCGCGAGGAGCGTGGCGGACCCGTATGTTATCGTGGGCGACAGGAACCACTCTCCCGACCAGAATGCGAAGGCCCGCATCCAAAAGATCCTGCAAAGGTTGGTGCTCACCCCACCGCGTGCCATCAGGGCCAGGGCTCCATGATTGACTTTGCGATTGTCAGCGAGAGCCTGAGGGGCAGGGCGACTCTCACCCCTGTCCTGGCGGTGCCATGGAAGACCCACTGCGGCATCGCAATCTCCTTCGAGCGGTCCGAGCAGCCGATCTGGCACAGGAAGCTGCGCTTGCCGAAGGAGCTGCCGCAGGTGGAGAGGCCCAAAAAGCGAGCCGATCCTACGAGCAAGAGCTCGCTGCGACGCGCAGAGGCACGGCTTGGTCGGCGAGGCAGACTGGCACCAGAGCTGCGGGGGGCGCTCGACCTGGCCCGCCCTCCACGAGAGCACGGCCAGGGCCTCCAGATGATGGAGTCGAGCACCGTGTCTCGGCGGAGCTTTTGGGCCCCGGCGAGCGAGCTCGTCGGTGAGCCGCTCGCCTTCGCCGTGCCAGGAGGGAGGGGGAGGAGGAGGAGGAGGAGGAGGAGGAGGGAGGAGGAGGAGGAGGAGGAGGGAGAAGGAGGAGGAGGAGGCAGAGGAGAGCGGGCGGGCAGTGGAGCTGCCCGCCACTCTTTGCACGCCTGCGCGCCCCGCTCCGACCCAGAGAGAGCGAATGGCATGTATGCTCCGCGTGGAGGTGGCCACCTGGAGGTGGCCACCTGGAGTGGCATGTACTCCAGATTTCGTAAGAAAGGGAGGGGGGTCTCATTTCGGGGGGGGGTCTCTTCCAGGCTATCTTGGAGGGCCTGGGGGGGTCTGGGGACGATGTTTTGGAGGGTTCTCCCACGGGGGGGGTCTAAAACTTCTTGTCTGGGAGGGTTGAGACCCCCTCCCTTTTATTACGAAATCTGGAGTATGCCCCGATGCGCCCCGCTCCGACCCAGAGTGGCCGCCCGAGTGGAGGTAGCCATACTGACAGCCTCCCAGGCTGACGAATCGGCCTGGGCCCCGCTCCAGGGGCGAGCCCGGGGCTCTCCTTTGGTCTGGCAAACAGCACGGGCCTCGCCAGGCCGCGCCCACCTGGTACAGGGCCCTGCCGAGTGGTGGGCGATGCCCACCACGCGTTTGAAAAGATCGGTTTCCCTACGGCTCTCTGGCAAAGACAAGAGGCAACTAGGGCGGCGCATGATGAAGTTGCGCAAGCAATGCGAGCAACCTGATGGGCAAGCTTTGTCTGAATGTATAGGCAAAGACATGCAGGAACTCGGCGACACAGCGATCGCTTGCATGTATGATCTCAGTCTGCAGAGCGATGCAGATCTCCCCGCACTTGTCGAAGCTGCAGATCGGCTCGCAATTTGCGCGCGCGCTCGCGGGATTGCCTCGTCGCGCCGAGCCTTTGAGAGCTGGGCAAAGGAACAGTGGAAAAAACAAGCAAGGCATGTTGCACCGTCACGCGAAGCAAGATCCGCCTGCCCCGCTGGAATCGCTTGTGCCAGGGAAGGTCGTTTCGGACCCCGCGGCAGTCGTGGCTGAGAAGCAGGCGGCGCGGCAGCAGAACTGGCTGGATCCTGTAGATACCCCTGAACCCCTGCAAGAGGCCACCTCGGGAGCGCTCCGACGGGCTGGCGAGGACCCCTTGGATCCTCTTGAGGCCTCCCACCTCTCCTCTCTCTGGTACCGAGCTCCTGCCAAGAAAGCTCCAGGGATCGATGTGCTCCGAGTGGCC